TAAGACTAAAAAATGCCCAAATATATGAACGACAAAAGACAGAAGGCTATTAAAGACTTCACTGTTTGACAGCCCCCTAAAAGTAGGCAGTGACAGATCACATCCACACGTAATCAGCGTTCTCAACTCCTAATGTTTTTTTACATGCAAGAAATAGCATCGCAGAGATCTAGAATACATCTCGTTAAATATTGACAAACATTGGGGAGTAAGTTCGACAACTTACCTGTTTTAGTTGTCTTTTATTATGCCATGCAGTGAATCTTAGACACTTCAAAGAACTAATGGGTACCTCACTGCATTTTCTCTCAGAATATCCTTATATTCTTTATGTCAACAAGTAGCTTATGAGATGACTGCATTACACTAATACAGTTCGTTGGGAATATGTTTTAAAGTAGCGATTAAACAATAAGCTAATCATAAAGTTATTTGGAATTGTATGACCAATCAAATCTATGACAAGTCCTTAAATTACTCCAGCTTTCAAAGTTCTTCTTCTCCAGAGTTCAAAAAGAAACTTATTATTTCTCTTCAATTAACCATATGAAAAACTCTATGCTGAATGGCGAACGTAATCCAAAATCTCTGAAATCAACATAATGCGGCAGAAGACATGCTAAAAAGTATTAACACTATTTTAAACAAAAAAATCATTAAGCAGCTATTCTATATATTCGCTAATAAGTCAATGCAACAGTTTTACAATAAAGCTTCGACACGTTACGATAAACGTTCACAATCAGTTTTCTTCCTCGAGCATAATCGTGGAGAAGTCGCTGCAATAATTAATTTATGGATCACCCAAAGGGACAACAGACTCTCAACAGAGAACGAACTTATAGATAACCCTCACATTCGGCATTCGCCGAGCAACAAGCTACAGCTCGCCAAATCCCGAACAGCTGACGTGTTCGGCGAAAGTTTGCTCCCTTTGACGTGTCCTAAAGAGCGACACGCGGTGGACAGGGCGAGCACCGTATGTTCATCGCTTGGCAAATAGCAACTCATCCACACTATACTCGGGATTCGGAGAGCGGTTGCCTGCTACTCGCCGAATAACGAATGTGTGGAGCCGGCCTACGGTATTCCAAATTCAAGAGCCGAGGCGGCCGATTCGTGCCGTCGTCACACGTGCAACGCTCGTGTCTCTAAAGGCTTTGTCTCTAAAGAGAACAGTCTACACGTTTTAGTTCCAGTAACTGAGTGACCAGTGCGCATAGCGCGAAATCAAAAAGCGTTTCGAGACGCTTTTTTCTCTTCCCTAAACGGAAAAACAAAGCATTTCTGGTTGTCCGGCAGCTCTCGCGCCTTCTTCTCTTTGCGCTGTCGCCGCGCCCATCTCACGTTGCAGTGGTGCTCCGCCCTCAGAGCACGGGAGGCGCCTATTGAAGCTGCGCGAAGCGCGGCCCGGATAGCGAAGATTAGTCTTTTGACATGTCGCGCGACTCCCGTTGACTCGCTATCAGATGCAGGCAGTCACGGAGTGAAGAGAGAGTCTCCAACTCTAAATATAGAAGGAATCACAGACTAACGCAGCCGGTGTCATAAAATAGCACGAACAGTACGGTTTTAATGAAATTTAGACAATAATCCCATAGGCAAGGAAATGATGTAGAAAGATACATGATTTTCAATTGTTAGGAGAAAAAACTGGAAGTACACGCAACAGAGCATCTCCACGCGAAAACAAATCCATAGTGCAGCTCGCAAAGCGGTGTTTGGTACTGTTTTTTTTTCTTCCATCGTGTATGTAGCATGCACATGAGTGAAGTCTAACACACTTGGCGTTCCCTTAATCCCTACTCGTTCCTACCAGAAAGTGATACTGGATAATTTATAAGCGAATCACCTCGTTTGGCTCTGAATAAAAGCTTTTGCTATCACACCTGGCCGATTCCATTCTCAAACTTTTACAGAAAGAAAAAAAAGCATCCACAAGCATTTTCAAAAGAACAGGGTATGTTTTAACCATATTTTAGGCGGGAATAAACCTGATTCAAACTATATCCCCCTCCAAACTTACCTAAAATGTAAAATAGTAAAGTTCTGGTAAATAAAGTTAAGAACTGTTTTTGACAGAAAACGCCTCAAATGATAAGCTCATAATAATAATAATAATAATAATAATAATAATAATAATAACTGAAGGAAGGAAAGACCGTAAGCCAACGAACAACAATGAAACATTCTAGGAAAACCGCTAACGTGGAATCACCCACGTTAAATAACGCATTACATCCAAGTTCGCCCCCAATGCAGTGGAAGAGCCAGCTTTGGCCGGAAACCTCTCCATTCCTGGGGCGGCGCGGCACGGCAGTGGGCGCCGCCCCTGCGGCAAGGCCTCTCCCGCGAGAGCGCAAGGTCGCCGGCGCGGCGAAGCGCACTTCAGGCGGGCGCCAGCCGCCGGGGGCCCAGCTCACCCTCCTGCGCCGACGAGCAAGCGACCGGCCGCCGCGCAGAGGCGGATCACACATTCATTGCATTGGGACAGGGTACTTTTTTTTTTTGCTTTAATGCAATCTTATTCGTTTAGTAAGCAAGTAAATTCGTCAACAGCAGGTAACGTGTCCTTGCACATTTAAGTAGCAAATTCAGTACCAGAAAAATGCAGGAACACATCGTGAAAATCTGGCAGCTTTGATCGACCCGTTTTCCGAGCAGACATCTGACAAAAGTCACTTGGTTAGTAAAATATACCAATATCCCATGCGTGGATCTTGCATCACAAAAAACACACGCGTACCATTCATTGGTTACGGCACTGACATATAAGGTGATTGTCGATCAGAAAAACTCAATGCACACTCAAGTTTACTTCAATCACATGACGTTCGTTCAACTCTTCCATTATAACAGCTTCATAACATCCAGCAAAATGGATAGTGTACAAGTAAAATTTGCGGGGTTAGTAAAAATAATACACATTTCGGCAAGTTGACCGTGCAATCTCATCCAATATTCGCTACTTGTCGCAGATTAAAATTATTAATTATCAAACCCTATTCAATTGGAGAATAAGCAGTGATATTGCATAAATAAATCATAGTTTTTGAGCTATACCACATCTGTCTTGTTCTGGAATAATATATCCCCACTAATTTTAAAACAATTCACTTCAGTTTTAGCGTGACAAACAAACACACACTCGCTTCCACTGAACACAGTAAAGACCCTGTGATAAAATTGGAATGTTACCATCACATTTTATATCTATTTTTCGGCCACTTTCCCACTCAGTGTAAAAACGCAACTCAAGTTCTAAACAAAGCAAATTGTCTTTCGAAAAAGTTCTGCGTTCACACATTTCACGATTCTGTGGATTACAATGTCTTCGTTACGCTAGGAAATAGTAGCAAGCAAACCCAACAATACTAGATTAAAAATGCCAACGCCTCTGGCCTTGCCAGAGGTGAAAACCTTTGACCAAAAAGCTAAAAAAAACAACAAGAGACCGGTGTCTGAAATTAGCAAAACTACCGCGAAAGCACAACAGACCATGCAAGAAATGTAGTCTTCTCAAGGAGAACGTGGGGCGAGAACCATGTGCTCGTTTGCAACACAGAGAGAATGCGAATTCCACTTGTTAAAGTTCGTGATGTTACAATGTAATGTGGACGTTAAAAACATTTCACATCATTGAAAAATTTCCCTGTTGGCCCAATTGCTACATTCACAAATACAAATAATTTAGAGCACTTTCCAAGCAGTTTTAGCGAGATGTTTATCTGCCCGGATTTACATTAGGACGCTTCAATGTCGTAAAAATATTTTTTTTAAATTTATATATATATATATATATATATATATATATATATATATATATTTCTATCTCTCTCTCTCTTTTTTTGTGAATCGGCTTTTTTCTTGTGAATTCAATTAGAATTGATATTTCAAGAAGATTGAAAACCTCGAGAGAATAGGAATATGTGCTTGTTTATAGTTTTTCTGGAAACAGATTGTAATCAAACTAGCCAGAAGTACAAACTATTAACCAAAATAATTTTATTTTACTTGCAGTTAAAATGTGTATTGCATTTCAAATTGCACACCAAACATTAAATTTTTATTAACATTTTATTACATAATCAATTTGCACAACAGGTATGCCTGGTGCATTAATTTTGTTGTATACATTAAATACAAAATTCATTACAATGTCTAGCAAAACATCAATTTTCTAAATTACAGGGTCCTACTGCAATTTGTATGTTTCTAGTAAACCTAAAGCATGTTTAAAGTTTTGCAAGACAGTTTCCAAGCATCTGTCATGCAAACATTTGTTTCTTAACAATATGAGCTAATGTCAAATATTAAATGTTTCATTATTTATGTTATAATAAAAATCAATAAACTTATGTATTCTTAATTTGTGTACTTATTTATATTTGTTAGTCTGATCTGCCAGAAATACTATAAAGCAAAAGACATGATAACACACTGCAGTGTTGTCATTCTTAGACATGCATACAATTTCAGTTTGTGATGTTTAGTTGACAATTATTCAGTAATTTAATAATACATGTAAATTGCTCTAAGTAAACTGAAAACAACACAATGTTATTTTATTGAGTATTACTGCCGGGGACTTGCAGTGTTTAACCTGTATAAATTTGCCTATTATCATTAACCATTTTTCAAAGTGCTTAGGACACTGAAATAATAACTTGTTTTCTAAATTAACAAATTTCCTTAGAGTTGTCCAATTCCAACTCACGTAACTTTTTCACTTCATAATGCATTTTCTACCTCTTCAATGGCTTGATCTACTCTTATATATATAACCTCATACTCCATGTCCTCCAAAAGATTGAATCACTGACATAGCGACATCTGGCGGGCGTCATTTTCATGTTTACAACTGCCCATCCTATTGTAAAATGCTTGTCTATGAACATTCACCTTTGGTGTCATTCGTTAAAAAACCCGCCAACTTGGCCTCCTCGATTTTTACTTTAACTACAGCCTTCATCCAAACATATAATATTCCTAACACTTACCATTTCTGGAGACGTCCAATTCCACCAAATTCTCAAAATTCTGAATATCTGGAGGTAGGCGATGGATTTCATTGTCGCTTAATCCTAATCTTCGTAATCGATGAAGCCGGAAAAAGTTCTGAAACATAATCAACAAGCCTTAACATTCAGGTCACATTTTATGCACAATAGCTACAATGTCAAGGGCTTTTGTAAGTTTACATTATCTTATCGGCGGAAGCATAATTATAATACCTTCGGAAGATCTCGAATGTGATTTGCATCCAATAACAATTCTTCGAGGCTTCGCGAGTATCGCAAGATGTCTTCGGGAACAGTCGGTAGGGAACAGTGACGCTTGTCAACATACTCCACTTGCCGATTACAACCTTTAAATATAGGTATGCAGCGAAACATGACTCCTCACGATTTGGTAACACTATGCATTCTATTTTTTTACTTGCACTACACCACCAAAACACTTAACAATATCGCACACAACGAGTAGCACCCGCGCGAACGTCCAACATCCACCCCAGGTTTGAACACGAAAACTACTAGACACTGACTAGACACACTATGTATGCATGAAGATGACGTCATCTGAGGGGGAGATTGTGGCGCATTCTGGTGGTACAATTAAGTACTATACTATAAAACTGACGATCACAATTGCGCACTTCGCCATGTTATTATCAGTAATATGGAGCAGTATAATGGCTTCTAGTTTATCATCGTTAAGTAGGTAACTGGATGTGTTTTGCCGTACCTACAAGATGTGTGGTTGCGTATGGTCGAATGCGAAGCTCGGAAGACATGTTTTTATATCTTAGTACCTTAATGTGAATATATTGCATCTTTCTCAAAATGACCGAGTATAAGTTGGTTGTTGTCGGGGCGGGTGGTGTAGGAAAAAGTGCGCTAACAATCCAGTTGATACAAAATCACTTCGTTGATGAATACGACCCAACCATAGAAGATTCATATAGAAAACAAGTGGTAATTGATGGAGAAACTTGTTTGTTGGACATTTTGGACACCGCAGGTCAAGAAGAATACAGTGCTATGAGGGATCAGTATATGCGAACTGGTGAAGGATTCCTCCTCGTGTTTGCTGTCAACAGCGCCAAGTCTTTCGAAGATATTGGTACATACCGCGAGCAGATTAAAAGAGTGAAGGATGCAGAGGAAGTGCCTATGGTCCTTGTTGGCAACAAGTGTGACTTGCCCTCTTGGGCTGTAGATACAAATCAAGCTCGGGAAGTAGCGAAGCAGTACGGCATTCCCTACATTGAAACTTCAGCAAAGACCCGAATGGGAGTGGACGATGCATTTTACACTCTTGTGCGCGAGATAAGGAAGGACAAGGAACAGAAGGGACGTGATAAACGCAAAAAACAAAAGGGTGGTCGTAAGAAGCAACGGTGTTGCATTTTGTAAAAAGGAATATCAAACAAACATCATAAACTATTTCTTTGCTATGAATTGCCTATGACTAGAATGACTTTTATGAAAGAAAATCAATGGCCGTATTTTAAGATTTCAAGTGATTATAGCATTCAGTTCATGGGTTGTAGGTATTGTGTTTCTAAAGTTATGGTAGGTGCTTTTAATTGTAGTTTCCTCACATTGTTAAAAGCCTGCTCTGTGTGGGAGGATCAGGGAATAAGAACATTGTCGGGTAAAAACGGTGACACAAGAAACCCACAACACTGGGTTAAGGCATGATTAGCCACAATTGATGCTGGGCATCGAAATTGTGACTTCATAGTTATCTACAACATTTTCTGCATACATGTTTACAATTCATCAGTGTGCTTCCATGTCAGATTTCCCTCAACGATCAGTGTCATCTTATTGTTGTAAATTTCTTTCTTTTAGTGTTTAAATGTTTTGGACTATTTGAAAGTAGTCTAGATGTTATCAATATTCAAATAAAGATATTTTATTCTTGCCAGATGGCTCTGTACGCACATTTATCTGATTAACATAATAATGTGCACAATTAAATTGTATTAATTTTAATTAGTGTTGAGGCAGAAAATGATGTATGTTGATAAGGAAATTGTTGTGAAAAATGTTTGTCATCTTCATTAATCAATGACATAAACAGTAAATTCTCATTCTTGATGTAAGATTAAGTGTGGAAAGCAAGCAAATGTACCAATACTCACTGGTAAGTTTTGGCAGCAGCACCTCTTATATTGTTATTCACTCTCTGCTGTATTATAACTTAACTATTATGTGTATGACAGATTTTTGTCAACAAACATGCAGCCTATAAAATACAAAAATTATATTGCTATTTAGTATGTTAGACATACATTGTCCATCCACTTCATGTCCTAAATGTGTTCTGATAAGGCAATCAAGCAGATGTGATTCTGTTTGGTTTGCTGACTTGTTGACTGATTTTATGAAGATTAAATAAATGAGTGCACATGGTATATCACAAATATACTTCAGAATGACTCAGGTGTTTTAAGTGTATCTGTGGTGGAATTGTATTGCTTTTGTAGGTAGTATTAAATTTAAAAGCTATACTTTCACATTTCATCTGTTGTATCATCTAAATCCAGCTATATGTAAATAGGGTTTACTTCAAATTTCAAAGATTTTCATCGTAGTTTGAAGTGCTTGCCATAATGTTTTACTATGTATTAATTATATTTAACTCTAATACCTCAATTCAATTTCTTCTCTTATGTCAATTGTAATGAGACTGTGAATAAACTGATTGAAAATTTGAAAAATGTGCTATGTGTAATTGTCATTCAAAACCTTAACAGTGGTTCCCAATCTTAATTTAATTTCATCCCTCTTTATCCTTCTGTTAAGTGATATACATTAGCAAGACATGATCTGCTCTTTTACTGATATTCCAGTCTACTATGAAATAAGGCTATTAATGGTTTTTCTAAAATAATTTAATTTCTAGGTTCGAGATAATTCCATTTAAATTTCAAGTAAAGCATCAGGGATTGTTTCAAAGTCTGGGAACCACTGGTTCAATCTGCGATTCCTAGATGTTCATTTTCCTTAGCAGAACAGAGAAATACAAGCATTGTTATGAAATAGTCTTTTTATAGTCAGAAGAAATTGGGATTCACAGAAGGAGCACAAAAAAGTCTTGACAAGGTAAGCACAAACCACCAGAAAAATAACCACTATAGTAGGGCTATAATTAGTCTTGCCTCTGGGATGCTGTGATTTGATTGCATTTGCATATGAAGATTGTCTAGCAAATTGTTCGTTTAAACAATTGTTTAATGCGTAATTAATCATTTTCACAATTGGTATACTTTATAGATTCATAAAACAAGACAAATGGAAAAATACAAAAAGGTGAGATAAAATTAATTTACTTCACTTAGTGGCAAAAAATTGTTTATAATTTGCATGATGCCTTTTTGATTTACACTTCCAATAGGCACTCAAATGATAAAATACTATGATGCAAATAAATAGGTAACAGTAAATTTGTTCAATACTAAGTCCATGCCAATATCAAACTCTCAAATGTTATCTACATAGTGATAGACAATCAACAAGTCATTCCAAGGTCAGACAAGGTTCTGACATGAGATTGTCTACAGTGAGCATCACAACACTATCACAGCAGCACTTGTGGACTCTTTGAAACAAAATAACAAATTCTAACCAGTCTTCACTTGATAGCATTATCTTTCAAGTAGACTCCCAAAGCACCTGCCTATCCTGTAACCAAGGCGTCATTTGTGCTATGATAAGCTACAGGAGAAGTGGTATCTTACCCTAAACAATAATTGGTGCATTTGTACCAGCAAATATGCAAAAGCTAAACAAGTTCATAAAATTCTTGTTTCATGGATACACAGATTGTATGAAAAAGAAAACACACAAAAGTTCAATTCATTTGGGTACTCAAGTTCAACCACCAATAGCAGAAGGAAATTATTCTCTCACACACACACACACACACACATATATATATATATATATTTACAATCACAACCAAAGCGGTGAAACAAACCGCCACCAACAATCATCAGTCGGTAACACAAGTGAACGAATAACGTGAGCATAAAATCTGCACAGATTCCACAATGCCAACAGTGCTCCACTCTGACTGGTGGATAAAGAGCAGACATAACAGAGCATAAAGAAGAACACTCATGTGTAACAGCAGGTAAATATTCAACAAGCCTAGAGTTCACAGTTTATATATCACACTTGTCAACTAATTGGTCTTTGAAAATCTGATCACAGCATACATGGTACAAATTATAAGGACAGAATTTTTAAAAAAAGTATCATACTATAATTTACGTAATAAAATGTAGCAACAGTCATATTGCATAATATTGTGCTACAGCCATATACATATATATATGTATTTATATATGATACTTATAAAAATATTTCAGTATGTCTGTGATTTTATCTTTATACATTATACACTGAAAAATCACACAGTTCATTTGTCTCTTCTGACTCATCTTAACTATTTTCCTTGGGACTACAACTGTATATTTATTTAAGTACACCTGAGAAGCTCTAGCTAACTCCACTAACAAGCAAGCATAAGCAAGTTCACATGGCAGCAAAACAATATGTAAAGTCCACCCAGGATGTTGGCAAACATTACACTAAAAATTAGTGTTTTGAAAGAAAAAAAATGTAATAAACAGCTGACAGCAACAAACATTTCTACAACATGCTTTCTTTTGTACGCTCCCACAAATTTTAAAGAGATGGTTCGAGCCTGTTTACCAACTAATATATACAACACTATTAAAGTGGGAGTGATACGCATACTTGACTACATGCCAACTCCAGGAATGGTGTATGTTATAGGGAAAAGCACATTCTTTGAGCAGTCAAGAATTGGGCACAACTGGTTATTGCTGACAAGAACAGGGTGTGGCACAGCGCAGCTGGGATGGACTGACGAGACGGACAGGTTCACACGTTCTGGCATCATGTGCGCTGCAGGAGAGAAAAAGGAAGATATATTAATGGTCACACAAATAGTTGGTGATAAAAATTCTCACATTCTGAGATTACATATTTATTAGAAAACTAATAGTAAACAGATGGAAAGAACTTCAAATACATAAGAATAAAATCAATGTACTGTTTTTTTTTTCTCACTGTATTTGTAAATTCTACACATTTTAAGCAGGAATATATCATTTATAGATCATTTTATAAAGTATTTTTCTTACAAAATTATTGTTAATTGAGAATAACCCAGATTACAACATAAATATTTACAATTTTATAACAATATAAATAATAACCACAATTATAAATATTAATAGTACTTGTATTCATGAAATGATTTATTGAAAGGAATACATTTAACTTGCAATATTACACCCATGACTCCTAGGAAATATGGAACAATGTAAATGACAAACACAACACTCACTCACTCACCCAGGTAGTTGTGATGGCCAACCCTCACAGTTCCAGCTCTCTGAAATAATATCTGCAGAAAAGTGACCCTTGAGATGGAGCTCTATCATTAGGTTGACACATTTTTCTTTCTTGGGGAAGAAGCTGCCCAAATGCCAAGTCATATTCTCTGTCAAAAACATCTATCAAAAAAGAAAAGAATAATATTAATAACATATCATTAAATGAACGTTGAGGACTAACAAAAATAAACAGGGCAGAGGAAAAACACATTTTTTGTTCCTCATTCTTTCACATTCAAAAACTGAAAAATGCAATTATTCGACCATACTTCACATTCGTAACTGAAGAAACAAAAATCACAAAGTATTTGAGTAAAACCATTCTAACAATTTAATATGCATACAAGGTATAAATTGAATAATTTCCTTTCTCTATCAATTATTAAAGTAAGCAATGCAATGTTTGATACCATTTCTACATGGAGTTTCATACATTTTTTCCAGTTTAATTACGTTTTTCAATACGAAACAGGGTTGGGCAGTATTTAAATACTTATATTAGATATATACGAATTTTAAATACATTTTGTATTTGAAAAACTGTATTTTTGAGTTTTTTTTGGGCATGTACTTAGAGATGTATTTAAATACATAAAGTAGGTGTATTTAAAAAGAGAAATACTTTAAGTACAGACAAAGAAGAAGATAGTTGAGAACAAGGATAGTTTTTTTATTTTTTTTTTATTCCTCTAGTAAATGCATCTCTCTGAAACAAAACTTAAAGCTCCTTTCTTCTGTTGAATTTGGATCTCTCTTCATTTTTAAATGATAAATCTAAATCATTAAAAATGGTGGACAATTATCGGACAATAAAAAACAGTGTTTATTCGTTATAACTAGTTTATGTTCATCCACACATTCATGTGTTCCATCCATTCAGTTAAATGACTTTTCCTTTGCAAGTTTTATACATTCGTCACCAGGGGTTTATTGTCTGAAAATTTGTTTGAAAAATTATTCATTTTAAAAGGAAATTCCATTTCTTTGTGTGAGATATTTTTTTAATAACATTTTATATTTGAATTTGTATGTATTTAGCACATCAAGTTCTGAAGTATTTTGTGTATGTATTTAAATTCTTTATTGTAAAGTATTTTGCCCAACTCTGACATGAAGAATACTTATTTTTCTATTTCTTTAAACCATTTTCTGAATCAGTATTTCCAAAGCAACAGTTATTTCTCTCCTTAACAATTCATATTGGAACCTTTTTATTTTTTTCTTCTCCCAAATCATTTTTAAATCAATAGACATCCAGAAAGAATTGAATTATATTCTAATTTACTTCCTTTAGCTTTATTAAGATTTCATTTTTGTCAGTATTTCAATTTCCTTTCTGGAAGATCTGCACACATCTTTCCTTTTCTTTCCCTTCTATAAAGTCTACTTTTTATATGATATACCTGTTTTCCAAAGACTATTTCTTGAGAATTATTCCTTTTCTCTTTGTAACTTTGTATTGTTCATTTGCAATTTCACAAGAAAAACATGTTCTCGCTGTTCGATGGTACTTACATTGGTCAATTAATTCACGACCTATAACAGTAAAAGAAAGGAACAGCATGTCACGGTACAGTGAATGAGAGCGATTTACTCCACGTCTTCGCAAGGCTTGTCTCTCTGCTGCCAATCTCTTTAACGGTTTTGATAAATCATTATCTCGAACTCCTCTAATTACCTTATCCATAATACTGAAAACAGCCACAAGAATAATATTTATCAATAACTTTATTAATCATTTAAGAAGTTTGTATATTGATCAACATATTGCTAACTATTGGCAACTTACCTACGAGGTATTGTATTCACATCTGTAATAAGAGCACTCACAAGTGAACTGTGCAAGTCCTTTTGAGACCATAACATATACATTGGTTGTCCCACCTCTTCATGAAGTTGCAGATTGTCCCATAAACATCGCACAACCACATTATTGTAATCTCCTCCTTTCTTAACCCAGGATGGATGCAGATGAGAGCCAGAGCCATCATCATTAACTCTATTCACTAATTTGGACTGTAAACACAGACCAGGCAGATGGCTAGCTACACCTATTCGTTGAAAAAACCATACCTATTGACAAAGATACAATTATTTGTAAATTAAAAATTTAATACTTTGTTCATTACATTTTCATAAAAAGAGATTTTAATAGAAAACCTTTTTATTTACAGAAGAAGATAAATAAATAACACTGACACAACAAGAAGTGAAAAATGACTGCATGTCATTTCAATAGAAAAGAAACTGAAGGGAAAAATGTTGCCAAAAAACTGACCATTTAAATTTGAGGTTAGAACAAGTTCCTAATTTAAAGCTTCATAACGATGTAAAACATTACCTCATCATGTTAAATTACAGGAATTTTATAAACTTTGGAAGTATAAACATGTATATCATTACATTGAAATATCAATGTGAAATATAATGTTTATTATGTGTTAGACTACTTGTTTGGGAATTTAATATAATTTTATAAATAAAACATTGCACGTTTTAATCAGAGAAAGACTGCCCTATAGGAAAATAGAAATCACAATGCTTAGGCTGGAAAACATATGAACAGACATACATAATATTAAGTTGGAATGCAACGGAAACGATCCCAGGTAGATTTTGTAGGATGTTTGTAAACATTTCAAATAACAGCTGAAGAGGGAAACAAATCAGCATGTAGATAAACAAAACCAAGTGTGAAAGGTTCAGAATTAAGGAAGGAACCAAATTGGTCACAGGGCAGTGAACTTCATACTGTGAAACAGTTTAGTTAAAAAATAGAAATTGATGTTAATTAATAATGATAATTCTAAACTGAACTTCCAAAATACAATTCTGAATTGAATAATGAATAAGAGTGATTGGGAAAATTATTTTTTGTTATTTACATTGGTAAACACACTCTATGACCCTCAGCAATCAACCATCTAAACAGTGCTTTAAGATCCATAGCACGTTATCCATAGCAATGGCCATTAAAATGCTCGGGAGTCCGTTACAAATATTTTAGTGTACTTTCGGGTTTAGATTTTATCAATGCTCCTAAATCTTGGAATAAATACTCTGACACAAAACACAATTTTTGGGAATTAATGTGAACAATTTTTTTACAATTATTTTGGTACAGATATATTGAAAGTAGTATGCTAGCATAATCCCTTCATTAATGCCTTGCACATTCCTTTTCGTTCACCAATCACAAAATAAATCATAAGCTTTCTCATAAGTGGTTACTGATTTAAAAGGCATCAAACTAGATCTTGCAGCTTCTGCTTCCTCCAGAATACTGACACGAAAATATCTGCAGATACTTCGAAATTCCCAGACATTTTTCTCAATCAGCTTGCATTAGCAGAAAAAGAAATTAAATGTATGATCACAAACAAACATCCAGTACCACCAATCCTTGCTGTCGAGAGTAATGCCAATTCTTAACTTATGAAAGTGGTAAAAGTTTATTTTGAATACGCGATAAACTAGAAATAACAAAAAACACTTTATGTAACTTGTCCTTATAGATTAATTTAGAAGACTTGTGACATAAATACGTACTATTTACACAATTCTGGAAAATGTGCAGGAAGTGAGTAGCTGCAAGGAGATGGTAATGTGTATCTTCTATGTGGTAATATGGGAAGGCCATTAGCACCATTTGAGAACAGAGAGTATAATGCAAATCCTGGCTGACAAGATAAGGTGCCAACAGTCTAATGTCAACAGTAATTGCAAGGCCTTTGCTTGATACAGGGTTATCATAATGAACAAATTTTTGTTTTTGTAGTTTATTTCGACAGAGAGGAAAAAGTGCTCAGAAAAACAAATGAAATACTAGCCTTTAAAGTATTTTTGTTTTAAAAAACTATTTCAGGCAAGAGTAGTGTAGCCTCTGAACAGCCCATCATTTCAATATATTTTTAATCAATCTGTACAAAGCCCTCTTTATATTGCAACATGAATGTTTTATCTCATATACACAAAACACAGAACCTACCTTCTACGTGAACAGTGAAAAACTACATAGAATATAGATTATGGACCAAAGTGAGACGTTTCAGTTGAATACTCAGGACAGAGGACTGGAGAATATTTGTTAAAAGCATAGAATGAGATGTATCAGGCCCTCAATGAATGAGTTTCAAAGTTTTGAAACTGCTGCACATGAACATGAAAGATAAAATCAGCATACCAGAAGAAAACAGGATAAAACACTACTTCACCCTGTGAAACAATCTATCTCTCTGATCTAATGAAGAGTTGGAAGGAACAAACCAAATCTCTGTCAACGATGAACTAGACAACCTACTGAATATACAAGAACTTAAGGCACTATTAAGAAAAGTAAAAAATAGGAAAAGCTGCGGACCAGGTGAGGTCAACATTGAACTCATAAGATATGGAGTAAAAGAGCTGAAAGAAATGTTATTAAAACTTTTTAATAAAGTATGGCAAGAGAAAACAATTTCAAGAGAGTGGGCAAGAGGGTTTGGTTATTAACATTCAAAAGCGCTC